TTTTTCCTTCTCTTTTATTATGGTATAAAATTTGAATCGAATATAAAGTACATGAGTTATTATCAACTGAAAATGTGTGCTTTTCTCCAGAGCAGTAACTCAGTATGCCTGCTATTGAATGTGATCCCTTTTTTTAATGAAATACAAATTTTATAAAACATAATTTACAGGGCTGTTGGCATGATTACATTTTCTTGAGGTTGTTAACTAGAAAGTGATGGAGAATATAACCTTTTAATTATTAAAAAGCCTTTGGGGAAAACTTCCCTTGAGCCAAATGCCTAAATTATTTTTGTGAAGCATTACAAATAGTGTTATAGATAGCAAACAGACTCCATTCTATTTTGTATTTGTGTCCTATCTCGTGGTTTATAGACCTCTTACTTTCTCTTCCCTACAAATCCCTAAAATTGGGAACTTTTTTGGCCCAGGAATCATATTTGACTGAGTTGTGATTATATTAAGAACTAAGAAAAGAGTTATTCTGAAGTTCAACTGAGTACCATACAAGTACAATTAGAAGGCATGGCAGAGTGGGTAATACCCTGGATTTGACAGTCAGAGAGACCAGGCTTTGAATACTATCTTGGAATATTATATGAGATGGTGGTCTATGCCTAGTTTCTCCCACACTTTTTCCCAGTTTTCCCAAGCAGTTTTTGTCAGTGAGTTTTTGTTCCAAAAGCTTGCTTTATCATATACTAGATTACTATGGTCATTTACTATAGCGTAATGTGTATCTAATCCATTCCACTGATCTACCATTCTATTTCTTAACCAATATCAGATTGTTTCGTTAATTACCTCTTTATAATACAGTTTGAGATCTGGTACAGCTAGCCCACCTTCCTTCACATTTTTTTATATTGATTCCCTTGATGTCCTTGACCTTTTGTTCTTCCAGATGGATTTTGTTGTTATATTTTCAAACTCTATAAAATAATTTTTGGTGGTTTGATTGCCATGGCAGTAAATAAATAGATTAGGTAGAATCATCATTTTTATTATATTGGCTGGGTCTACCCATGAGCAATTAATATTTTTCCAGTTTAAGTTGTCTTCATATAATTCTTGGGTTTGTCTTGGCAGGTAGACTCCCAAGTATTTTATATTTTCTAGAGTTATTTTATTTATTTATTTTTATTTATTTAGTATTTTATTTTCCCCCAATTACATATAAAAACAATTTTTAACTTCATTTTTGAAACTTTGAGTTTTAAATTCTCTCCCTTCCTCCGTCCCTACCCCTTTGTCCCATTTAGAAGGCACGCAATTCTATATAGGTTATACATGTGTAGTCATGCAAAACATTTCCCTATTAGTCATGTTGGTAAAGAAAACAGACCCCCCCCAAAAAAAAACCTCAAGAAAAATAAAATTAAAAAAAACTGTACTTCAATCTGTATTCAGACACCATCAGTTCTTTCTCCAGGGATGGACAGCATTTTTCGTAAGTCCTTCAGAGTTATCTTAGATCATTGCTGAGAATAGCTAAGTTGTTCATAGCTAATCATCTTACAATAGTGCTGTTGGCTTTGTTCACAGTACATTTCACTTTGCTTTAGCTCACGTAAGTCTTTCCAGGTTTTTCTGAGAGCATACTGCTCATCATTTCTTATAGCACAATTGTATTTCATCACAATCACGTAGCACAGTTTGTTCAGCCATTCCCCACTTAATGGACATCTCTGCAATTTCTGGTTCTTTGCTACCAGAAAAGAGCTGCTATAAATATTTTTGTACATTTTTCCTTTTTGTTTTTTACTTTCAACCACCTCCTCCCTCAGTCTGCCCTCCCTTCTATTAGCCCACTCCCTTTTCTTTTCCCTTTACCCTTTCTAATTACTATAGGGTAAGTTATATTTCTATACCTAACTGATTGTTACTCCCTCTTTGAACCAAATCTGGTGAGAGTAAGGTTCTAACAATGCTCCTCTCCCTCCCTTCTTTCCCTCTACTGTATTTGGTTTTTGTGCCTTTTCGTGTGATGTATTTATCCTTGTCTGTCTCCTCCTTTCTTCTTCTCCCAGTACAATCCCTTTTCACCACTTAATTAGGTTTTTTACCATCACATCAAAGTCAACTTAAACCCACTCTCTCTCCGTGAGTATACCACCTTTTAAATGTCATAATGACATTACAGTTCTTAAGAGTTGTAAGTGTCATCTTCCCTTCATAGGGATGTAAACAGTTTGCCCTTATTATTAATATGTTGGGGTTTTTTTTTTCTTTCCTGTTTACCTTTTTATGCCTTTCTTGAGTCTTGTATTTGAAGGTCAAATTTTCTGTTGAACTCTGGTCTTTTCATCAGGAAGGTTTGTAAGTCCCCTAAATTTTGTTGAATTGTCCATCTCCTCCCCTGAAAGATTATGCTCAGTTTTGCTGGGTAGTTGATCCTTGATTGTAATCCAAGCTCTTTTGCCTTATGGAATATTTTTCTCCTCCGATCTTTTAATGTAGAAGCTGCAAGGTCCTGCATAATCCTGACTGTTGTTCCATGATATTTAAATTATTTCTTTCTAGCGGCTTGCAGTATTTTCTCTTTGATCTGGTAATTTTGGAATTTAGCTACTATATTCCTTGGCATTTTCAATTTGGGATCTCTTTCGGGAGGTGATCAGTAGATTCTTTCAATGACTAATTTATCCTCTGGTCCTAGGACCTCAAGGCAGTTTTCTTTGATGATTTCCTGAAGGATGTTGTCCACACTCTTTTTCATCATGGTTTTCAGTTAAACAAATAATTTTTAAATTGTTTCTCCTGGATCTATTTTCCAGGTCAGTTGTTTTGCCCATGAGGTATTTTATGTTTTCTTGTATTTTTTCATTCTTATGTTTCTGTTTGACTGATTCTTGTGCTGTCATAGAATTATTAGCTTCCATTTGACCCTTTCTAATTTTTAAAGAGTTGTTTTCTTTTATTAGATTTTGTACCTCCTTTTCCACTTGGTCCATTTTACTTTTTAAGGAGTTCTCTTCAGTGAGTTTTTTATTTCTTTTGGGATACAGACCTAGTAGTGGTATTGCTAGGTCAAAGGTTATTCGTGGTTTTATAGCCCTTTGGACATAGTTCCAAATTGCTCTAAAAAATGGTTGAGGGGCAACTAGATGGCACAGTGGATAGAGCACCAGCCCTGGAGTCAGGTGGACCTGAGTTCAAATCCAGCCTCAGACACATAAAACTTACTAGCTGCGTGATTCTGGGCAAGTCACTTAACCCCAATTGCCTCACCAAAAAAAAAGAAAAGAAAAAAATAGTTGAATCAGTTCACAACTCCACCAACAGTACATTAATGTCTCATTTTCCCCACATCCTCTCCAACATTTGTCATTTTCCTTTTCTCTCCTATTAGCCAATCTAATAGATATGAGGTGGTACCTAAGAATTGTTTTGATTTGCATTTCTCTAATTAATAGTGATTTAGAGCATTTTTTTTCATATGGCTATCGATGGCTTTGATTACTTCATCTGAAAACTTATATCTTTTGATCATTTATCAATTGGGAAATGACTCTTGTTTTTACAAATTTGACTTAGTTCTCTGTGTATATGAGAAATGAGGTCTTTATCAGAGAAATTTGCTTCAAAATTATTTTCGCAGTTAGGATTGCTAAATGTATTTCCTTCCATCCTGTTTCCACCAACCCCCATTTATTCCCTCTCTCATTTCACCCTGTCCCTCATAAAAAGTGTTTTGCTTCTGACTACCCCATCCCCCAATCTGCCCTCCTTTCGAAGTATCATCCCCTCCTCTTATCTCCCTTCTCTTAACCCCTTCCCCACCTACTTTCCTATAGGGTAAGATAGATTTCTATAACTCAGTTGAGTGTATATGTTATTCCCCCTTTGAGCCAGTTCTGATGAGAGTAACTTTCAGTCACTTCCCCTCCCCCATTTCCCCCATCTTCTCCTCCACTGAAAAAAGCTTTTTCTTGCCTCTTTCATGTGAGATAGTTTCCCCCATATTACCTCTCCCTTTCCCTTTCTCCCAGTTCATTCTTCTTTCTCACCCCCTAATTTTTTTTTTAGATATAATCCCTTCATATTCAACTCACACCTGTGCCCTGTGTCTATATATAATCCTAACTGCCCTAATAATGAAAAAGTTTTGATGAGTTACAAGTATCGTCTTCCCATGTAGGAATGTAAACAGTTTACCTTATTAAGTCCCTTAAGATTTCCCTTTCCTGTTTACTTTTTTATGCTTCTTTTGAGTCTTGTATTTGAAAGTCAAAATTTCTATTCAGCTCTGGTCTTTTCCCCAAGAATGCTTGAAAGTCCTCTATCTCATCGAATATCCATTTTCCCCCTCTAGAGTTATTTTAAGTGGAATTTCTCTTTCTATCTCTTGCTGCTGGACTTTGTTGGCAATATATAGAAATGCTGATGATTTATGTGGGTTTATTTTGTATCCTGCTACTTTGCTGAAGTCGTTAATTCTAATTTTTTAGTTGATTCTCTAGGATTATCTCAGTATTACACAGTATTAACTACATGTTCCATTTTTAGTAACTTTTTTAGCATATTGCTTATAGGATCAAGGATTCAGGGCAGGAAAGGACCTTAAAGATCACATAATCCAATCCCCTCATTTTTTCAAATTAAGAAACTGAGGCTCAGAAAGGTTAAGTGATATTGTTTAAGGTCATATATTACGATAGTTCATCAGTGGCAAGGTACAGTTGGGATCCTCTTACATGTAAAACTGCATCCTTTAGATACTTGGAAAGCTAATTCTCTGATCTCCAGTTTGATATAGAGGGTCGTGACCCTTTTTGGAATGTTGTTTGATACAGTCTTCAAGTGAGCAAATTTGGGGTCATGATTTTGTCTAAAAGCCTTGTCTCCAAGTTCATTGACAATTTTTTCACCAGTAATTTTGAAGTGAAAATGTATTATTGTTATTTTGAATATTTTATTTAAATGCTGTAATACCTCAGATTAAAATGAATTATTTTTTTAAAAAGAATTTATTTTTGTTTTAATTTTTGGTATTTTAGGGTAACACCTGCCTGGAGAATGGATCTTTTTTGCTGAACTACATAGGCTGTGCAATGTGTAATAAACGGGACTTTATGCTGATTGCAAACAAATCTGTGAAAGAGGAAGATGGAGAAGAAATAGTTACCTATGATCGTAAGGAGGCTTTGTTTTCTTTAATAGTGACCATTTGTTAGTAGATTTTAGTTCACTTAAGCTGATCTGTTATGTAAATAGAAATTTAGGTTTAAGTTTTTGTGTTCTGTGAAGTGCTTTGTTTAGCTTTTAAGAGGAAAATACACTAAAAGCCTAATTTTTGTAAAATTGTTAGGAAAAGGCAATAGGAAGTAGGAAAGTGGGAAGAACACAGACCAGAACTTCATTTGAGTTCTGACTGTGACCATATGCAAGTCATTTAATCTTCATGAATCCCAGCTCCTCACCCATAAAATAGGACTGTTCACCTCCAGAATTGATGTAAGGAAAGCCCTTTGAAAACTGTAGAGAAGTATCCAAATGTGAACAGCTACTATTATGCAATAGAATGTAAGCTCATTGAGAGTAAAGATTGTTTCATTTTTTTGTTGTGTTTTGTATGTCCAGCATGTAGCACAATGCCTGAGATATCATAAGTACTTTAATAAATATTTGTTGATTGATTGGTTCTACATGAGCCAATTTCTCAGATAATTGAAGCCTTCACAAACATGAGGCAAGTGAGGCATTTGCCGACAGGGTCAAAGTTGAGGGGACAGAAAACATAAAATATTTATTTACTGTCCCGAGCACACCTTGCCATTAGAATAGTGGGGCATAATTTTATATTCTGGCCTCAGTTGCAAATTAGCTAGTTATGGTACTATACTGTAGGGTTGATTGCCCCAGGTTGCTGTACTTTTTGAGTTATTATATGTCCTTAATTTTTCTGTTACCTTCCTCACTTTTCCCGAACTGTCAGTGGGCCTGCTTCTAGTAGGATCTCATCCATCTCTTCTAGTCTGTTCCTTCTAATATTCTGTACTTGGGAAAACCAAATTTTAAAGAAAAACAAATAACTTAACTTACTACAATTATGTATAAAGTGAAAAGAAATAGTCCCAAAATGAAGGTCATAGGGCTACTCATCTGAGTCAAGTATATGAATTTATTGCATGAATTTTATGACAACTCTTTTACCCATTGAGAGTCTTTTTGGGAGGATTATTTCCAGGTTCTTAATTGTCTATATTTTCAGGGTAACCAAATAATTGGAATAAGTGACATATTACTCTCAATAAACAATTTGGGGATGGGGGAGGAATGGGTAGCAACCCTTCAAAATAGATCCAGGAAACTGGTAGGGTAGTATAATTTTTCAAAGCTTTCCTTTTCCCTTGTGTATCCTTTTAAACTTTTTTTTAACCATTAAATTCATGATGTAAATCATATTTACCCAACCCTAATTCTGATTACTCATTTTTAGTTCATTGCAGAAGTATAGTTACCATCTCACTTTTTAATTTATTTTAAACTCAAATACAAAATGAGAAAAGAAAAAAAAATTGCCATGTACATAGCAGAATACAAGAGAGTATTCAGTATAAAACAGTTTCCATTTCAAGAAAGCCTATATATAATAAACACTACACATTGTTTTTCAAAGCTGCCCAGCTTTTCTTTGCTTCCTTGTAGGTTTTCTTTTGTTATCTGCTGTGTACTTTTTACTTTATTTTTTCCCCTCCTTTTCTCCCTGCCCAGCCTCTGTGTGTGTGTGTGTGTGTGTGTGTGTGTGTAGATATATATGTCTATGTGTATACACATGTGTACACACATATGCTTTGATATCTATAAACATACACATGTATGTAAGACCATATTATGCTTATTTCCACTTGTCATTTATTTATGTGAAGGTGGATAGCCTCTTCTTTCATAGGTCTAAGTCTTTCTATGTTTTTCTAAATCAACCAACTCATCATTTCCTACATCATAGCAATATTCCAACCCAGTCACATTCTATCTGAGAGATTGTCTATGAAAGTTATTTCCCAGTTTTCTGCATTCCATTCTTAAGCTGCATAGGTTTCATTTACTTTATTTATACAAGAAAATTTTAATTTAAAGTAATCAAAATTATCCATTTTACATTTCAGCAGTGCTCTTAACATATAGTTTAACACCATCTCATTTTTGAAAATAAAATATCTTTTGTATATTTGTACAAGTACTGTGAGTTTGAAAGTTACATTTAAGTATGTGTTCACTGATTGCCTTATGGCTTTGAGTGGGAATTATATATATACTTTCAGGCCACAATTTTAGATCTTTAATTGTAAAATGGTACAATGGTACATCTCTCTTTTTTTTAAATAAAGGTAGATAGAACAAATTTAGCTAAGTTTCTTTTAAAGCAATTGACATCTAAAGAGAAAAATGTTACTATTCTAAGGCAAATGAATAATGTGTTATGTTTCCCGTTTGTCTTGCAGATGTGTGTAAGAATTGTCATCACATAGTAGCCAGGCATGAATATACATTCAGTGTCATGGATGAATATCAGGTAAGTATCTTAAGTCTTTGGGAAAAAATTTTTAAATATTCTATAGAAACCTAGGTATAGTACTTACAAGATACTAACAGATAGAATCATAGGTTTAGAGAATCTGAAGGGGACCTCAGAAAGCACGTAGTCCCCCCCATTTCTGAGTAGGAATCTTCTCTCTTATCGTCCCCAAATATGATTTGTCTGGCTATCGTAGACAACTATTGTAAATGTGGCATTGACGTCTGCGTAGCCACAGAGACATGATGTCTGCATCAAGCCTTCACTTGAAGACCTAGGGTGCTGAGATCACCTCCTGAGGCTGCGCATTATACTTTGGGACAACTCTAATTTTTAGTTGTTTAAAATGGCTCTTTGCAATTTCCACACGTTAGTCCTGTTTTAGACTTCTAGGGCCAAGTAAAATCAGCCCAGTCCATTTCCAGTGTGTCAGCCCTTCAGCTGCTTAAAAATCGCTGTGATGGGGGCAACTAGGTGGTGCAGTGGATAGATCTCTGGCTTTGGAGTCAGGACCTGAGTTCAAATCCAGCCTCAGACACTAAACGCTTACTAGCTGAGTGACCCAGGGCAAGTCATTAATCCCGATTGCCTCACCAAAATGCAAAAAAAAAATTTTTTTTTTTAAATTGCTGTGATGTCCACCTTGAGTCTACTCTTCTCCACACTTTGTTCTGTCTAATCCTTTTAAAACTTCATTTTAAGTCTTATCAACATCCTGGTTATCCTTCTCTAGGTGCTCTTCGGTTTTCAGTCCTCTAAACCCCCAGGGGCCTTTTTTTGTGAGCTATTATTTAGCCATTCCTCTCTCCTTTGATAGTTGTGTCATTGATTTGTTTTTTATTTGTGTTGGATTTAACATTTATCCATATTAAATTTCATCTTATTATATTTTGCTCGTTGTTCTAGCCTGTCAAGATCTTTTGGTAGCCCATCTAACGTGGTAGCTCTTCTTACCAGCATCATGTACACAAATTTTATATGCATGCCAACTAAGCCTTCATCTAAGGCATTCATATAAACCACAGGTTATTAAACTGGGGTCTATGAATTTGGATGAAAATAATTACATCCTTATTTTCACTAACCTTGAACTGAGACATATAATTTCTTTCAATTATTTAAAAATATTATCCTGGGGCAGCTAGGTGGCGCAGTAGATAGAGCACTGGCCCTGGATTCAGGAGGACCTGAGTTCAAATCCAGCCTCAGACACATAACACTTACTAGCTGTGTGACCCTGGGCAAGTCACTTAACCCCATTGCCTAGCCCCCCCCAAAAAAAATAAAAAAATAAATAAAAATAAAAATATTATTCTGAGGAGTCCATAGTCTTCACCAGACTGCCAACCCTGAGATAAACTTTAAAAAGAAGACATCTCTTCTTCCTATCTGCATCTTTATGTCTAAGTTGAGAGGAGAACTCTGGATGTGAATGAATTTGTGCAAAGCTAGAAAAACAAGTCAAAGCATATGCCCTACTGCTTATGGGCCAGGATTGCAGTCTTTGAAGGATATTACATTATGCCTGTTAATGTGACTATTAATGTACCTTTTTTAATTTGTCTGACTATCATGGACAACTATTGTAGTTGTAGTATTAGCCTCTGGAAAGCCACAAGAGACATTTTTGTGTCTGCATGTCAAATCTAAAGATGTGATAAAGAAGCTACCAAAGAAGGTATATAGTGTTGAGCAGTCCTACAGTCTAATTTCTAGTGAAATTCATAAATGTCATAACCTGACATTTACAGCTAAATAAGCAAAAAACAGTGTCTTATTTTTGGAACATGTGTTAGGCTTAAGTTAGGTCCAGAAAAGCAGATTTGCCTCGCTTTTAGCAAACCACGTATGTGAAAACCTACAGCATCTATACTTGGGAGGATTGTTCACTTTACAAGAAAGTTCTTCACAAACGGATTCACCAAAGGGGTCTACTAAATAGTGCTCACACTTAGAACCTTAGTATCATCTTTACAGAATTACAGAATTTTGGAGTTAGGAGGGATTTCAGTTCCCATCTGATCTACCCATACTCAAAAAAGAGTTCCCACTACCGCATACCTGAGAAGTGATTGTCCTTCCTTTGCTGGAAGACCTCCAAGACTGGGGAACGTGCTACTTTCAGAGTAGCCCATTCTGATTTTGAATAGCTATAACTGTTAACAAGTTTTTCCTGACACCAAGTCTAAATTTGCCCTTTTGCAACTTTCACCTATTCTCCTATGTCTACCCTGTAGTGTAGAACAGAGCTAATTTCCCTTCCTTGTGACTGCCCTTCAAATGTTTGAAGACAGTTATCTTATCATCAGTGGAAAGAATGCTAAATTGGAGTCAGAGGACTTAGATTCAAATCCTAGCACTACTACTACTACTACTACTACTACTACTACTACTACTACTACTACTACTACTTACTACTACTACTACCTCTGCAACCTGTGACCTTAGGAAAATCACTTTCTGGGCCTCAATTTTCTCATCCGTAAAATGAGCACCTATACAAAACTATAAAAATGACCTCTAAGGTCTCTTCCAGTTTTAAAATTAAGATCATATATCTCCCATTTTGTGTTCTGATTTATAGAAATTTGATTTTGGCAGTTTTTCAGCGACACATAAAGCCAGCTTACTGATGGAAGGGCTCATATTTGTCTGATTATCATACCCAAACCAAATCCTAGAAATTTTGCTCTGAATTACTATTCCAGTCTATCATAATAGTTCCATTCTTCAAACCTTTTTTGCAATATCAGTATCACGTAATTTATTCTTAGTTATTTAAAAAAATACTTATAAGCTTCTTAAGGCAGGAAGCACATTTTTTCATTTTATGTTACTTACAGCACCATTGATGCCTAATAAACATTTATTGGTGGATTGATTAACTAGTTGAATATAACCTCAGTTTCTACATGCTCAGTCAAGCTCCAAAGGAGCAGCTCCCTCCCTGACTTCCTTATTTCTTTCAATGACACTGTTACCCACCCAAGCTTTCACATTTCCTACATCTGATCAAATGCAAGGGCCTATTGTTTTTGCCTCTACAATATATCTCCCATCTGGGTGATTTAAAATGGTCAAGAGACATAGTTTCTACACAATTTAATCATTTTATTAATAAGGCCAGCACATTTATTAATAAAAGGATGGCCATTTGGCTGGCAGCTGGGCTTAGGGCTTTTATGTTCTTTTGGAAGAAGGTGGCAATCAACTCTGATTGTTTAACAATAATGAAAGAAAGAATGTTACGGGGAGGAGCTGAAAGTGATATCATGTCACCCTTGGACAGAGAGACTTATCTCTGTACCCAGACTATGCCCCAGCCTTAGGCAATCTATTAAAAGAATTTGTGCCCCACTCAAGCCTGAGCAAAAAATGGCTACTCCACCTAGATGGGGTTTTGAACAAGAAAGCTAGTCCAATCTCATTATCAACAATGTCCTTCAAGAGACTGAACTTTTTAAAATCAGGACTTTAGGAAAAGGGGGGAACTCTGGATCTCCCCAAATCTTTAGTTATTAATAATCTCACATCAGTACCTTTGTTTCTGTTCCCTCTGACATCACCCTATTTAAGGACCTCTTACCTGGATATTGTAATAACTTTCTGACCAGTTGCCCACTTTCAGACTCATCCTTCTTGTGGTCTATTCTTTATACCACTACTAGATTCATCGTTCTTATATACTCAACTAGTAGTGTCCATCCTGTGCTCAAAACCCTTCAAGGGACCCTTCCTAAAGGAAGTTCTTACTCCTTAGCTCTGAATTAAAGGCTCTTTACAATCTGACTCCAAACTACCTATCCAGCTTTTCTTCTACATGCTTCTACATGCTTTAGCCAAACTAGATTACTCAATGTTTTGCATGTGTCTAGTGCTTTCTTGTTTATTCTGTTCTATAGAACACATAGAATGCCTTTCACTCCTCCTATCTCTGCCTTTTGAAATCCAGCCCATCCTTGTTCATCTCAAATATTATATCCTCTATAAAATGTTCTTTGTTCTCTGCCCTCACTCAGAAATTATTTTCCTTCCTCTGACCTCACTTTAGTCAACAAGCATCCACCTCCTGGCTTCCTTGGCTTCCTTCAAGTCTCAGGCAAAATTCCACCTTCTACAAAAGCCTTTCCTTGCCCCACTTTAATGCTAGTGCCTTCTTCTAAGATCACTACCAATTTACCCTAAATATGGCTTATTTATGTACATAGTTGTTTACATGTTGTCTCCCTTATTAGATTGTGAGCCCCTTGCAGGCAGGGGCTGTTTTTGCTTTTCGTTATATCCCCAGCACTTAGCACAGTGCTTGGCACATAGTAGGTACTTAATAAATTCTTCTTTGCTTAACTTTGCTTTATATCTCTTTTTATGCATCATATTCTACATATTCTATTTTGTGCACCATTTTACGTATATGTTTTATTTCTCTTACCATACTACAGATTTCATGAAGTTAAGAACTCTATTATTCATCTTTAAAGCTCCCCTAGCACCTTGTTCTCTGTATATAGTAAATGATAAATGTTTACAAATTGAAATGAAAAACCGAAAGGTCTTGAGCTCAAATCTGGATTCTCACTCTTCATTCAACCTTCCATCCCAACTTGATCATTTATATGTAATTTGTTGAGCCCAACATGAAGCTCTCTGCTTTGAGGTAATGAGTGGAACTTAGGTCTGTTTCCTTTGTATAAAAAACTCTGAAGATACAAGGTGTGGCATAAAACTAAGGCAGTGCTGATGTTTTTGGAAGAAACTGATACAGAAAGCATGTTTATGCCAGTTTGCAGGCAAAAACTCTTACAAAACAGAACCAAAGCTATCAAGTGAGTTTCTAGGTTTCCCAAGGGTAAATTTGCATTTTGTCTTGTTCTAGGAATACACCATGCTATGTCTTTTATGTGGCAAAGCAGAAGATTCTATCAGTGTCCTCCCTGATGACCCCCGACAGATGGCTCCATTGTTCTGAACATCCTGCCGCAGTTTTACTGTAGCTAAGTCACCGTGCTGGCTTAGAATGCTTGAAAACCTGATAGTTTCACATTTTGTTTTCAGTTCAAATGGTTTACTTGCTTTTCAAAGTTCAAAACTAGCTATGCCAAAAGAAAAAAATAATATTCTAGGGAGGTGCCCTTCCCTAGAGCTAAAGCCTGTTGACATCACTGGAGTCAGAATGGTACTAGCAGCTGCATGTCTCTGGGAGAAATAAAATGACTTAAATTACCCCAACAAGTCTATCTTTAGAGGAGGAATGAAATGTCTCTCCTTGTGTAGTGGAATAAACACTAGCCTACAACTCAAAAGACTTGTTGTAGGCCTGTCTAGTATGTACTATGGGAACTCAGGTCACTTCTCTGGGCCCAATTTTTTCATCTGTAAAATAGAAATGATACCTCTTGTTCTACCTACCTTATAGGATTATGCAAATTGTTGTGAAATTATGTATGTGATAACAGTTTGAAAACTGTCAAAGCATTCTACAGATCATGGGTTTGGAATCAAGTGTCCTGGGTCTTTATCCAGTTCTGCTACTTTACTTGCTGTGTGATCATGGGCAAGTCAATTGATCTCTAAGCTCCTATTTCCTCATCTGTAAAATGAGGTCCTTTCTAAATCTTTGATCATATGATGCCTCGTACACTTTTTACATATATGAAAGACTTGGTAATACCAAACCATACCTTTTAAGATTTAGAGATGAGGAAAAAGTCAGTTAATTGTTGGTACCAGGGAGAAGCCTTTGCATTGTGCAATGAATAGTCTGTCTTCCTTTCAGCAGTCCTCTGTAAGCATGAAGTAAATCTCTGGTGAGTTTGGAAGGAGGTTTCAAATCCCAGTGACAACACTCATGGGAATCCTGTTACTAGATAGTAACCAGCTGTTGTTTTATTCTTGGAAAACATTTGCACTTTGCTGCATACCTCTATCTGACCCTAGTGTTGCCACCACTTGATAACATTCATCCTTGGTAGCAGAGAAAGTTCTCCATTAAAAACCCAGCAAGGTATTTGAAAGAAAAAAAAAAACAACTTGGTAGATCAAAACCAGACCTATTAAAGACACTGACTGTTTTGAATTTTTCATTGTGCCCAAATTAGCTATTCATGGCTTAGGAGGAGGATGTTTTTCACTTCAGCTTTACCTTTATAATGTATGTTTGTTCTGGATTACATATATTTTTTAAATTGAAACATAAGCCCTTTTATGTTTCTCCAACATTAGGTCAATCGTGATACAGTGTTTCAGTCTCCCTGTTGTATGCTTCTAAAATAATACAAAATGTACTTTTATCAAGATAGAACAGATTTTAATATTTTTATTATTATTATTATTATTTAACATTATACTGTACAGTGGGTCTGATAGAAACAAAACCTCTTGAACCAAGGCTTTTTAATGGAAACTTGTTATAGTAAAAAGAGCATTGGAGTCAAATCCAGAGGCTTGAATTCAAATCTTGACTCCATCCCTTAGTGATTGTGTGGCCTTGGGCAAGTCACATATCTTTTGGGCATCAGTTTTCACCTGTCTAAAATGAGGGAATTATGTTAAATTACCTCTAAGGTTCCTTACAACTCTAAATATTCTGTAATCTGCTTTGTCATCTACCAAGGTGAAAGGGATAATCGAGCTAAAATCTCAGGTTTCTGTCTAGCTTTGTGGGACTGAAGATGAAAGGAAAGTATGGAAACTGACAAACTTGTAGTCTTGGGGTTCAAGTGCACTTCAATATGCTAGTTTCATGTAGTCATAAAGTAGAATGTACAGATTGGGGCTTATTTCAGATTCACTCAGTTCTCAATCATACTTGGTGAACAAGGATAAATCACTTATTCTTTATTTCTTGTAATGATGAGATTATTTGTCAATGAAAATATGAGATGAAAGAAAGGTCTAGAATTTTTTAAAAACAGAACAGGCAATTTGTATGAATGGATAAAAAGTGAAATAAATAGAACCAAAAAGATCAATATATACACAATGACTATAACAATGTAAATGAAAAGATCACTAAAAAGAAATTTAACTCCAAGTAACTGAAAAACTAGCGATTGTCCTGGAAAGCTGAAAATGAAACATCCATCCCTCCAGAGCAATCACTCTGGAGTCTGAGGACCTGCATTCAAATCCCACCTCTGCTGCTTATTACTTCATATGCCTTGGCAAGTCATTTAACCACTGTGGGCCTCAATTTCCTTACTTGTAAAATGAGAGGATTGTACTAAATGGCCTCTGAGATATATTCCAGCTCATCTGTGGTCCTATATTTTTTATAATAGAGAAGAGAGGGATTTAATTTGTTAAGTGCTTACTATGAGCCAAGCACTGTGCTAAATGTCAGAGATAAGAAAAGAGGAAAAACAGCTCCTGCCCTCAAGGAGCTTACAGTCTGACAGGGGAGATAACATGCAAACAAATATATACAAAGCAATCTACACACAGAACAAATAGGAAGTAATTAACAGAGGGAAAACACTAGAACTAAGAAGGGTTAGAGCAGGATACTCTGTCAAGGTTGGTCAGGGCAATTTTTGCTTATTTTTGTTTTCTTATTTACAAAGCAGGAGTCACTCTTGGACCAGAGGAGGAAGATTTTTTCCTCCAGAAAAGACATCAGTAAAACATTTTTAAGAAAGCTGATCAGAGCTTAACAATAATAATAAAAATAAGCCTTTATATAACACTTTAAAGTTTACAAAATGTTCTATCCATATTATTTCATTGGAGCCTTACAGCAACCCTGTGACATGAGTACTATAGATATTATTTTCCCAGTTGATAATAATAAATGAGGAAACTGAGGTTTAGAGAGGTTAAGTGGTTTGCACAAGAACATGCAACTAGTAGGTGCCGGAGGCAGATCCGAACCACGGTCTTTATAACTTGAGACCAGCATTCTACTGAGCCAAGGTCATGGAAACAGGAAGTTGTTCAATTCAGCCTACATCCCTCTCCACCCAAGCACCTAACTCCAAGGGTTGTTGTGAGGTTCAAATGAGGTAATATTTAGAAAGCACTTATATAAATATATAAATTATATATTATGTAAATATATATAATATGTACATTATAAAGTACCTGACCCCTAGCAGCCCCTTCATAAAATGCTTGTTCTCTTGTCTTCCCTAAAATCATGTCAACATAGTGTGTTTCCCTCATAGCTCTAAATCCATGATCCCATATTTTACCTTTGTCCCCAGTATCATGATAGGATCATAGATCTAGATTTAATAGGTATTTAATAGGCCATGCAATCCAGCCCCTTCATTATACAAATGAGACAAACTCAGGAAGGTTAAGGGACTTACCCAGGGTCACACAGGTAGCAAGCACCAAAGATAGGATTTGAAGCCGGATCCTTGGACTCCTCAGCCATTCATCTCCCATTTTCCCAACCATGTTTTTTAAAATAAGAGCCTGTAAAGAAGTTGGTATCTCTATGGCCTCCCTAAGTTGAATAGCATTGATGGACCACACCCGAAGGAATTTGTCAATGACAAGTCACATTGTAAATGAATCCCCTTACTTCCTTATAACTCAAGGAAATTTGGCTCAGTGATTTTGTTTACCTAAGAAACCGAGGCTGGTTATGCGTTAGTTGCTACTTCTAAGGAGAAAGAAGAAGTGAACCACATGAGAAGTAAAGGGAAGACAACTTTTCTACCTCTTAACAGTGGACCCATTAGAAAGCTAGTAAAGCTAAAGACTCTCATAAATATTATTTACCTTAGTCAGTATTCAAGGCAAGTAGCAATTGCCTGCCCAGGACAGTAGTCTTCTGTTTCCCTCTCACTGAGTACATGGCACTTTTCTAAGACCACTGTGGCTGTAATTCCTGTGTCTGTGAGAAACCTTAAATTATTCATCCAGCCTGAGCCTGATGGAAAAGGACCTGTACACTGCACTGGCATTCCAGGAACTAAATTGCCTGTGGCATGATGCCAACATCAGGTGATACCGGCTCTGTTAGTGATATTGGCTCTTGTTGGTAGGTCTAACACCACACTAAGCACTATTGAGATTAAAAAAACAAACAGAAAAAAAAAAAGATCAGAACTGATCTTCTAAATTCTAAATTTCCTTTCTTCAAGAATGAGACTCTTGGTCTTGGCCTGATACTATTTCAGGTGAAGCCTCATAAACTGCCAATTGACATTAAGAACACTTATCCTAAGAAGACTTGGTTCTTCAAGAAAAGGGAGTTGGGGGAAGGGCGGAGGGGAGAATCCGTATTGAGAAGCTGCTGTGGTGAGATTAAGAATAGAGTAAAAAATGTTAAGCCACTAGTGGCCATGGTTTACCAGAAGGCATTAGAGAGAGAAAATGAGGGCTTTTGCTGCCTTATGAAATGAAATAGTAATTTACACAGACAGACTTAGAAACTGGGCAGAAGGTCCATAGCCTCATCTATCTATACTTCCATCTCAACTGGATCAAACTCGGAAAAAGGGTTTGGGAAGCAAAGTAACTGAGAAAGTTCCCCAGAATCAGGATTAAGTCAGTATTGATTTGGAGAGGTGCCCATCTATCGGCATCTTCATAACCATGCAAATCACTTTGAGTATATTGTCTCATTTGAACCTAACAGCAACCCCATGAGGAAAAGTTCTCTTAATCTCATTGAACTGATGAAGAAGCTGAGGAGCTAAGAGATTGAGGGGCATGTAATTAGTCTCAGATACAGCATTTAAACCTAGGTCTTCCTAGCTCCAAGTCCAGCCTTCTCCTGTGCTATGCTTCCATCATCTAATCTTTTATACTTGCCTATTTGAGATGTCCAAAAATCCTTATTGGGTTTTTTTTTTCTGTTTTCTTTTTTCCACTCAAGAAGAGATTAATGCTTTCCCAGCTAGTTCAGTATAGTTTAGGGCCCTCAGCATAAAAGATTTTCAGGTGGGTAGAGACTTCATCAGAAGTGGAAGCTAAGGATTTAAGTATGGCTATTCAGCCTTCAGCCAAGGAAGGCTACAGGCAGGTTCTTCACTGTTACTCCTTGGTTGGTTAGTGGGTAAAATGCCCAGGGAATGAAAAAAATGGAGAAAACAGTCATTGTTACCTTCTAACCCTCTGCTCATGTGCTCACACACAGCATTCTATGCCCTGCTGAATAAGTTGGAGTACTTGTTAGAGGTTGAGAAAGGGCAGCATTTCATAGTGTCCCCATAGGCTCAGAAAATGCACAGATGTTCAAAGACCACCTTAGCTTTTTGGATTTAAGCCTCAGGTACTACTGAAAAAAAAAAAGATATTCTACAAGCACCAAAGCTTTAGGGATAGATTGAAGAAAGATATTTGTTCCTGAGAATTCCCAACTAGAATGTTGGGGAAAGTTTTGGACTCCGTTGGCAATTCCACTGAATTCCAAGTGCTCCTTGGTATCCCACAGAAGATAGATGGACCTACTATCCTCATAATCTAATCATTAAGTCTGTACTGTCGTTGTTGACATGATATAGAGGGGGGTTGTCCTAATACAGACTTAGGATCAGAATACCAGTCTCATACATGGAAACATAGAGCTCCCAACAAGACCATAAAGTGAACTAGCTTTACTGATACTCACAAAATGAAAGGCAGTCAAGTAGAACGATGAAAACAGGCCAGGTCCACTGGGATCCTGGATAAGACTGCATTCTGCTGAGCCCCCAAAAGCAGTGGAGTAGCAGACATTGCCTTCTTAAGTGACCTTTTCCAATTCAAGCAACTAGTAATATAGAACACAGCACTCTAGCTGTAGCTGTTCTAGACACTTAGCTTGGAGAAGATTTATTGCTGGAGGGTTTGGATGGAGGTGTACATGGTCTTCATTTATTACCCGAGAGCTCCAAACTGGAGTGAAGCTAGTTGTCAGCTAGGGGTTGGGGGAAGAGAGTACAAGGCAAAATAGGGATAATCAACTTAACTTACAATCACGTAGGATCACTTGTGTTGTTTGGAGGCTTACGTATGGGTATTGTGATCTTTCTCTCCCCCTTACACTTCTGCACCCAGTGCAGCCCAGAAATTGAATGTGTTCTTAAGTTATGCCCCTGGATAGCAGATGTTTTAGTGAAAACTAG